AATGCTAAGTGTATGTATTTCAACTGTAATAGGGACCAGGTCATGACGAAGTAAGGTTACCATTGTGTACATTCATGTTTTCTGTGTATAAATAGAACATTCACATTTTCTGAGCACTTGAGCTCTTAAATGTAATTCGACCTTATTTGAAATGTTTTAGAAACATGCACAAGATGGTATAGTGCATCATGTAGGTGTAGTAAACACAAAGATGAAAGTAACATACAACAAAAATCATTTTAAATTCAACTTCTATGTAAAGTATAATATTGTTATGTACATATAATAAGTAAAGAATCTTCATAATGTATAGAGTAAGATTACTTATATTTAGCTTACCTTGCATCGTAGTCTTTTTGCGCTTCTCGAAATTTTCTTCATAATTGTGTGTGCTTTCTGTTAAGAGGACATTAAGTCAGGGAATAGAAAAAATACATTTGCATCTCAAACACATACAGTTATAAAGTAATACAGCAGTACAGCAATATATATCTATGGTTTTATTAGGAATTTGACATTTTTTATGCAGTGGGCTCTGGACTCCACTCGAAAACCTCACTGTTTTCAGGGAGGAGTTTACGTCCTTTTGACATAAAATCAGAGAATTTTACGTCCACAATCACATAAGGACAATGGCGTAAAAGCAGGGAAATGTAAAATAGCCTCATATATATGGCTTGTGTATGGCCTCATGTTTTCAGCATATTTTTTACATTGTCTGGTGTTTCTGGAATATTTCATTACAATGCCTGCCTGCCTCAGAGCTCCAAAGGAACATAATTAGTATTGGATACTTTGAAGGAAACCAGAGACATGAGATGTTTGAAAAGTATTGTGTTAAAATATTGTGTTACTGTCATGTTTCAGACAAGGCAGAATATAAGTCAGTTTTTGACTATTCATATAAAAATGCTACAGAACTCTGGGCACTCTTTCAATCAATGGCCTGTCTGGAGTTATCATCTCGGTCCCATCTGGTTCAATTTGCAGCAGAAGGAAGTCAAGTCATTTGGAACTGAAATTTGTCACTTCTATTCCGTCACAACTTCATTTACAAATGTGCTTCTTTGTTCCAGACAACAACGAAAAGATGGGTGTCTAACATTTGGAGATTGTAACTTAATCATATCATGTCAGCAACTTGGAATTCTCCACAATTGTAGCTTTAAGGGGAAAAAAGCTTTCCTTACCAAATACTAAGAAAAAATTAAAAGAGCGTTTTTTAATAGGCTTCATGTGAAATTCATTAACTTGTCTTTCACAGAATGTTTAACTATTGGTTGAAATATTAATGAAAGTAATATCTGAAAAGTCTTCATTCTTTCTTGAGTTCAATGTCTTACGTAATCTTACTTGTCTAGGTCTAAGAAATTATTACTAGGGCACAGAAGTACAGTGCTGCAGTGATTATCATTGCTGCCTCGTGCCACTGGAGCCATGGGTTTAATTCCAGACCTCTGGTAATATCTTTGTGGAGTTTAAATGTTCTTACCATGTTCACATGGATTTCCGCAAGGTGTTCTGCTGTCTTCCCACTGTCCAGACCAACTGATTAGCTTCTGGGAGAACTGGCTCTGGTGTGAGTGAGTGCTTGTTTGTCTCTGTGTGTGCCCTGGCGACTCAATCAGGGTGTACCCACTATAGGCTCCAGCTCCCCTGTGACCCTGAATTGGATGAAGAAGCTTGAAAATAGGTGGATGGATGTCAAAACCTGGGAATGAGCAACTTCTTTTGATCCGTTATCCCTCCTGCTCCTGAATGATTAAGCCAGTGAAGGCTCTTTTCAGAGCACAGTTTCATCTCTGTGGTCCATATTCAAGTCAAAGTTATCTCGTTAGGCCAAATGTGCCCAGGATTGACCAAGCAGTCTTTCCCAGTTGGCTGAACTCTTCTTGGGGTTGTATGCCTTTGAGTTAGATAGGTTTAAGACCTGGATTATGGTCTATGTCTTTCTGGGTCAAAGGTGACTTCTTTCAATTCTTTTATTTATAAATCAGAATTGCCATTTGCCCTTTGCTATGCCCATATGGTTTTTGCATCTTGGCACTGAACCACAATTCCCACAACCTTCCTCAGTTGTAAATGAGGAACAGTAGACAGACTCGTGCACCTTCAACCCATTCACTTTTGAACACCATACTGGAGATGCAGTGCTGATTGGAGAAGACACAAGTCCCTGTTACACGACAGGAGTTGCTGTGAAACTGAGAGTCCTGACCAACTAAACCCACCCCAGATCTCAGTGGAGCTCAGCCTATTACCTGCCTCAACTTCAGGAAAATCAGTCATAGCTGACTAGTGACACATCACAGGTTTGGACCTGTGATCATAGAGATCAGAGTATCCAGAGTACTAAAATTTAAATGACCATAGAGATCGGTCTGTGCCTTTACCTGTTGGGTAACTCCATAGCAATCATGCCTCTGAGCAGAGCATGCAAAGAACTCACTCCTTCTTGATGGTCTAAAGGTAGTAGCAGCAAAGGAGTAAAGAACAGCTACTATCCTTAAATGTTCCACCATTTAACACTGGTGTGTAATGAAAGGAAATGGTGTCAGTGATTCAAATGTTCTGAAGAAATGTTTCCCTTTTTGAAATTAGCTAATTTATATGGCATGTCTCCTTGTAAATGTTGCAGACAAATGCTACAGTTGAAGTCACCCTCCTCTACTTACTTGCCATGATATGATCAAGTATTCACAATTCTACAGATGATATGGTCAGGTATTCACAATGCTACACATGAAATATGAAACTTAGCCTTGAGAGAGATAACTCTAATAAATAGTGACAGCCTGAGATGACCTGTTGCTGGAGACAGATGCTGAATCTAGAATAGAGCTAAGTAATCGAGAGCCGCAGGAAATCCACTCTAACACATTCAGCTGCATACACCTGGGGACAAGAGTTAACACCCTCGATCAAGCAGAGGCCTTTACATTTATTCATTTCAGAGTTTTGGTTTTGCCTTTTCACAACTCAAATGAAAAATCTGCAGAACCCAAATCACAGCCTATTCAATGTTTAAAATTCAATACTCTGTGCTACTTTATACTCATAATCGAAACTTTGTTAAAGCAAGCTGATATATCATACAAAGAACAAACGTTCAGTGGCTCGTGCCTGGGTTCAATTACCGGGCTGCGTGGAGTTTGCATGTTCTCCCTGTGTTCAGGTGTGTGGGTGCTCCAGTTTCCTCCCACATGCTGGTAGGTTTATTGGCTTGTGGGAAAATTGGCTCTGGTTTGAGTGTGTCCACAATTGACTGGCGTCCCATCTAGGGCATACCTGCCTTGCACCTGTTGCTTGCCTGGATAGGCTCCAGCTCCCCCGTGACCTTAGGTTTGATAAAACAATTATGAAATGGATGAATAGAAGGAAGTTCAGTTGCTAATAGCTAATCAACCCCAGACATTCCTACAAAGATCACTGTGATTCCCATTCAACAGTGGCTTCAGTGCTTTTATTTAGTTAATTCAGGGCCAAAACCTGTCAGGTGACATTTAAAATGGACAAGTGCAAAGTGTTAATGTGTAGGTACAAACTACAAATATAAAACTGGAAACCGAAAATTGAAACGGGTACTTACACACATATTTTTTAATTTTCTAGACACTGGAGAAGTAATAAAAAATGCAAGCAGAACATACAATATTAGCTAGATGCGTGTGAAAGCTGTGTGTACAGGTTTGATCAACAAGATACAAAATATATTGCTGACTTGGAATCAGGCCAGAAAAGACCAACCAGACGCAAAGGACTTCCCAGACAAAAGAAAGTGCTACACTGAGAGACTAAAATAATCTTTTGGGTCTTGAACAGAGACAAGGAGACCTGATTCAAGTAATCAAATTACTCAAGGGCACTGGGAAAGTCCACCCAGTGGACTTAATCTGAATCAATAGTGAAACTTGAAGCAGAAAAAAAAACACAATTGCAAACTACAGGGATGGGCATTTAAAATAGAGAACAGGAGGCAGATCTTTACACAAAAGGTTGTGGGAGTCTGGAACAAGCTGTCCAGTGATGTTGCTGAAAATAAAACTCTGTCTTTGTTCAAGAAGAGACTGGATGAGACGTAATTAAAGTACATCTCAAAATGTAATTGTGTGGCTGTAGTTGCACTGGTTGTCTCACTGCTCTCTCACCCTGGGTGTTTGATCCTCTTGTTGACGAGAAAAGATTATTTATTATTTCAGTTTCAAGCCATTGAATTAGAAATCTGTATAACAGAACTGAGATCCTCACCCAATATAGTACTATTTTTCTTAATAGTAAGCATTACTGTCTTACTGTACTGTATGTAACACATATTATGCACCAGCATTACCAGCTTGTAGGCTACACTTTGGTCAATACTGGGAGCAGAGACTTCTTCTCCAGTGAAAACCATGATTCTGGTTGAAGTTGCATTGGTGGACCAGTAGATGGCACTCTTCCCTCTGGTCCATATTTCCCAACGAGTGCCCCAGTATACTAAGGACACTGTTGTGGGTGGTGCTGTCCTTTGGTTGAGACATTAAACCAATGTCACTACCTGGTCATTAAAGAGTCCACGGCACTGTTCATAAGATATGGATCTTAACTCTTGTCTAAATTCTGTTTTAGGCATAATTTGGATTTTCTGAGTTCAACTTAAGTCTACCTTAAAAGCTGTGTAGTTACGCTAAAGGGTACAATATGGCTGCACTTTCGCTGGTTGATAATGTGCCTTGATATTCACTGCAATGAATTTTGCTATGTCACTGCAGAGAGTTATTAATTATTAATAACGAATATCTTCATATGAGATTTTAGTTTCCACTTAGTTCTGTTAAAATCCTTAATTATATTCCAGTCTTCAATGTGAATCGTCCTTTAGACTATGGAATTTTAAAATACGAAAGTTATTTATTTCGCTAATATACCCTTACATGCTGTAAATCATATTTGGGATTTAAAAAAATGAAGAAGAAAACTACAATTCCCATAGTGCAGTTGGAGATCAGATGTAGGGTGGAGGGAAGGATGACGCAAATATAAATTGCCAACTTTCAGTCATTGCTGAGGTGGGACAGCGGGATTTGTTCTTGTGCTTTGTTAGGTGACTAAGTTTAATATTTTCTTTTATTTGTTTCCCCATGGAGCATAATGTATTGATTAACGATAATTTTACTGAAATGTAACAGTGGATGGGGTTTAATTTGTGTTCGTGGATTAAAGGCTTTGTGATGACCGATACACGATGTGCAGCCGATAATCAGGAAGCGTTTCTAGGGCCGAAAGGTGTGATTGTGGAAGGGGTTTTAATGCCAGATATTTCTATAAAAAGAGATCTGCAATATGAGAAAATCGTTTATAGAGCTCTTGTTCGAACTCAATCTACAGGTTGTAGAGAAAACTGCTGGGTGCTGTGATTGGTCCAGAAAGTAAAGGCGTACTAAGTTAAAGCCTTTAAGTTTCGGTCATAGAACAGGTCTCCGGTCCAGAATCCACCACACTAAACGAGTTTATTTTCAGAGTGGTTAGGTTCTTGTGTCAATGTAGTAATTTGCTTAACTGTGCTTCTACGTCTTGACAAATGCAAAGTTTATTAAAAATAGAACTATGCTTGAAAACAACAATTATCCCATTTGTGAACTTCCTTGCATTGTTAGTTTGCATATGGGTCCCCTTTGAACTACTTGGATTTTTGCTAAAAGATAAGGAAAATAATACACTTTAAAGACACCTGCCGCCGTTTTCTGGGACATTTTCGTTATTTCGTGTAGGGAAGGTTTTGTAAACCATTTTCTGGGCGACAGAAGAAACCTCTCCGTACGAGGCATTTTGTTTAAATTCGTCATCACCTCGGAAATGAGTAATAGTCTGCGAACAGTTAGTGCAGATGTACATGGTGTAACGTGACAATTTCTGTGAAGTTGTATCTTAGCATAATTTAATAAAAACGGTATAGCATGCGAGGTTATTACACTGGTTTGACATTACTTTGCATAGAGTACAGTATGTTACACCTATTAAAATGAAATATTAGTTAACCGATACAACAGTTATGTTAAAAAGAAGTTCTTGGTAGAATTGGGAATAAAAGTAATAGTTTATTGTTAAACTGTTGTATTCAAGTAATTATGCATATCAGGAAAATTTGTTTCCGATAGTGCATCTTTTAAATTGGCAGCTCCTACCATTGTTAAATAAGATACACCTAAATAACTTGACTTCAGGTTAAATAGTTAAAGGCTGGTTGGAAAACGAGTGGACTGTGCTGGAAAAAAGTGATTTTATTAAGTTTAATTCTGTCTCTCAAGGGGTATTCTGTTCTTAGGTTGTTTGACACCTGGGTCTATTTAAAGGTGTTTTCTGTGTTGCCTGGATGGTGCAAAGCTTTTAATCATTTGTTTGAGGTCCAGTTATAGTCTTCTGCTTTAAGTCTTGACTAGCTGTCTGCGAGGCTGCTAAAAATGATTTCAGCACTAGGAATTTTAATTAGAAAAAAGTGGGATGTAAATAGATACTGAGCTCTACATCACTGGTAAGGGTAAAAAGGACAGTGTGTATGTTTTATGTTTAAATTTGTAGCGGCTAGTTGTAATTTCTGCAAATTCTTTCCATCCTCATAAAGCTTGGCCCCAGTAAGGTGTCTCTCCTTACCTGTGCAGGTTTATTTTTTACTGTGGTTGTGGTTTCTGCAATGAACACCTTGCAGTGTAACTGGGAACATGAACTACTTTTATTCACTGAGCTAAGCTGAGAGGTGGGTACCTATAGTATAGCAGAATGCCGTTTCAAAACTATGGCTCCTTAATGGTATACTATTACAAAATCGGAATAACTGTGACAAAATGTTGTGGTACATGTGTTCCGATTGGCCTGGCATTCTGACTGATTGCGTATTGTGTGGGTACGGTACATATGCCAGAATGTTAGCTGACAAGCCTGCTCGGTACTTTTACAAAATCTTCTAATTGGAACTTATTTTCAAAGCAGGATCTCCAGTTCATGAGGAGACAAAGGAAAAGCCTACAACGAGACATGGATTGTACTTGGGCTGGTATTTTAGAGATGGTTCAGTCATACTGAATGTTTGAACTGTTTGGAGCTTTGTTTGATTAAAGGAACATTAAATGCCAAAACAAAAAATTACGGATTAATCATACCTGGTGGCTGTCTTGCCATTGGATGTACAGTGGCTCCCGTTCCAAATTGGCAGTAATCTGAAGTGCTTGCTCAAGTCAGCAGATGAAGAGGATGAAGGCTGCTGGATAGGCAGGCCTGGGCTGAATCCAAGTGAAATGTGAATAGATCTGAGGGAGGATGTGGCTGCCAGGAAACCATCTTATCTGAAAGCACTTCAAGTTACTTGCATCAAAGAAATGAGAAAATGTAGCAGGATGGATGCTGCCATCTCATACATACCCACAGAAAATGTTTGCATGCTGTAATGTTAGACAAGAAAGCGCAGATCAGATACCAGCATTGTTTAATAGATACCAGCAGATACCAGCAATTGTTCTTGCACAGCTACGGTTTGTGTAAGGTAATCTAGATAATATAAATGTCATGCATATGTAATGTTACATTAGGATTTTAAGGCTAATACGGAATCCAGAATGGGTTCTGATCCTTATACAAAAGAATTTCATTTTACACAGTTTTGTGTGTGAGAGAGAATGGGTGTTTCTGACTAAAGGTTGGCTTTGAGACTGAAACGCCTCATAATATACATTAAGCGACTTACGTTGGCTGCTGTAGTGTAGTTCTAATTGCAGTCTCTTTCCAAGACTGCAGTGTTTAAGCAGCCCTTCCCCCCTCAAAGCAACACCTGATGACAGTTGCTCAGCAGCAGGGTGCTGTTAGAGGCGGATGCTGTCTGAAACCGCCAGGTTGGTGACAGGTTCGCAGTTTATCTGAAGCTATTTATACACAGATGTAACATTCGTTTTCTGTGGTGTGTTGCTTTGTGAAAGGGTTTTGGGAAATTCAGATTTCTATTTTTTTTGATAACCAGGGTTTTATTTTTTTTCAGTGTCGGGCAAAGTGGAAAAATGTCTGGAGGAAAATGGTTACAGAATAATCCGATTGACTTAAAAACAGATTCCAGATGGGAGGGAGCCATTTGTCCAGTTGAACACATTTGGTAGTTGGTAATTAATTGAGGCAAGGGCCTCGCCAAGTTGGTTCTTGAAGAAAACCAGCATTTCAGTGTCAAAACATGTCTGGTCAGTTTGTCTCCCACAATCCTTCGGTGAAGAAGTGCCTCCTACTCTCACTGTCAAATGGACTGCCACATAGTTTTCACTTGCGCCCTCTGGTTTGTGTTTCACTGTTCATTTTGAAGAATCTGATTGGATTTTGTCAGTGCTCTTGAGGATTTTGAATACTTGGATCTTGGATCATAGTCTTCTATGTACAGGACTAAAAAAGGAACATTGTTTCATGTTTGAATTGGGTAATTTATAGATAGTATCGGAGTAATATGTAACTAGTTACATGTAACTGTAATAAGATCCCATTTTATGACAGCTGTAGCAGTTCCTTTTGCAGACAGGTAATATAAAGTATAAACGTAAAGTAGTTCTTAAGCTGACTTTTTCAGCTTTTAATAGGCCTAAAATAAATCAGAAAACACCAATCTGCTACAGTGAAAAACATGCATTTACTATGGAAGTAAAAATCACATGAGCATACATGCTGCATTATGTTGACTGAAAAGTAGTCTGGTGAAACTAGTGTCTTTAATAAGTGGGCTTCCTGAGAAATTTGAGCAGGCAAAGAAAACATCTCTGTTAAATGTTCTCTCTGCTTTCGTAAGCAAAGGTCCGATGCATAAAATTGGAACATAGTGCCCTCAGATAAGCTGTGATTGTGTCAAATACCTTCTTCACTTTAGCTGGACCTCACAGTACAGGGGTGGCCATCCTAGTGCTGGAGGCTACAATCCAACAGGGTTTCTGAGGTTCATCCTCAAATCGTCACTCTGTAAAGCCTTGGAATTCATCAGCTTTAATCCGTTGGGTAAATGAATTAAGTCAGGAATGGTTGACTGTGGTCTTTGTGTGTTTTGGTGTGTTGATATTTTCATTTTAAATGATATTTAGACAATTCACTGGAACAGCCCGCCTGCTTTCAGTGGTCAGAATGAAAATATTCCAAGTTTTTGTAGGCAGTGACGATTTAAGAATTACGAGATGAAACTTCCTGGATTTTGCCTCTCTGACTTGCGTGTGTTTGCATTTTCATTTAAAATTCTTTCTTTTCAGAATTATTTAATATGCATTAGTTAAAAAGTATTGCAAAGTGGTATCCTATGAACACAAACAAATAAGCCCAACAGTATTATAACAGTGCCTTTCTGGTGATGATTCTGAGGTGATGTAAGAATACAATATTGACAATGGATTACCGCCTATATTAAACTGACTTTTGAGTGGGACTTTTCATCATGGTATCTTTAGTTCGCTTCAGAATTGAAACGAACCAGTTTAAAATGTTTTAATCCAATCGAGCCTTAAATTGAAAATAGATCAATAAGGATTTGATGTTGTTGTAGTGAAACCTGTGCAGGATTGTGGTTTCAGGATGGCAAGACTTGCAATGTTTGGCCAACCTGTTCTGAGAGCAGTGAACAGACGCAGGCTTTGCACTTCCCAGCACACAGCCATACTGGATAAATCAAGATAAGATGAGGGACAAGTAATGGGTTTATTCCTGGCTGAAAAGAGAAGTAACAAAACACAATGTTTTCCTCCTCACACCTGGAGAAGGCTCCATGGCCGAAACGTTGTGTTGTCTTCCTTCTCTTTTCAGCCTGGAATAAACCTCTTACTTCTTCCTTTGCTGCCTATGCATGCTTTCACAGCTACCCACCTGAACTAAGATAAGATCACTTTATTAGCCCTGTACAATTTCTTGCGTTAGGAATTTTATCTTTTCGCATACCCCAGCTTGCTCGCCATGAGACACAGACAGGCAGAGAAGCTTGGGGTCAGAGCGCAGGGTCAGCCATTGTACAGCGCCCCTGGAGCAGTTGGGGTTAAGGGCCTTGCTCAGGGGTCCAACGGAGTAGGATTCCTCTGCCGGCTGCGGGATTTGAACCGGCAACCTTCCAGCCACAGGCGCAGTAATGTAATTTCATAAGTAATGTTACTTTTTTCAGAGTAATAATTGAACAGTTATGTTTTTAATGTATAACAAATTTGGGACTACTTTTCAAAAGTAACTTCTCCAACATTATATATGTCTTATTGCAATTCTGCTGCCATTGTAATTGAATCAAGGCAAATACATGCTACTTTATTTGTAACTGACGAGTACTTACAGCGCTGTCCCAGCTATCATCTATTCTAAACAGACCTGTGTTTGCCAGTGTGTCAGCAGGGCATCTCCCATGTGCTGCAGATGTCACACCTGTGAAGTGCTGTCTCAGGCATTAAGCATGAGGAGCAATTTCACTCTCGACACCTTTACTGCAAATTCTTTCTTCTCATGCAGGTTACATATTTTATTTTTCATTTTTGGCCCTCTGTTGACACAGTTAATGTAAAAAAGTAAATACGACTGTTTTACTTAATTGAAATTTTCATTACTGCTGTACATCTTGTGACAGTACTTATAATTGTGAAAACTATTTTTTTTGCAAAGTGTTTTATAATTGTGTAATAAAAATCTTCAGCTGTAGCTCATGTACCCAGTGAAATAGGTGGATCATTACAGTGATTATTATAATCTGTAGGCCTCTGTGAATAATGAATTTTTACAGTAAATCAGCTCTCGATCAACCTCTGACTTTTGACACCACACTCTTGATTGTTCACATCCAGCTACATTTTAAATGAATACTTGAATTGGATTTCCACTCAAGCACATTTCATTTCTTCAGCTGAATCAGGCCTGACCTTTCTGCAGACTGAACAGCTACTGTATGTTGATGTTCCTGCAGTCTTTTACTGCACTAAAGTATTGGCTTTAAACAAACCATGCTAAAGATGATTAATTTGTCTTCTTTGAAAAATGGTTTAATTGTGATGAAGCTTTCAGAGAACAATGACAATACCGCTTTCTTAGGGCTGCTTTGTTTTTGTTTGGCATTTATGTCTGTTCAGTCTTGTAAAATATGTAGGAATATGTAGATAAGCCCTCTATCACAGCATTGTATTGGTAGTGATTCTGTCCTTTGACTCTGTGCTTGTTCCAAACTGGCTCATTGCTAAAACCTACACTCATGGCCACAAAAGCAGGAGAAAATATCTATGGGCTGGAATCCTTATGGCTTCTGGAGGGTTTCTGGAAGTTCTCTATCTACTACAGAGCAAGAGATAATGACTTTCACTTAACCATGAAGAGCTTGATTGGCACAAACTCAAGAAGATTCAGTTTCCACAAGAAATGGAGTTCAGAACCTCTGTCCTACTTTATTTTACCTTCAGTCCATGACAGTTGCTTCAATTGTATTGCTTAATTGATGCTTAACTCGTTAACTACAGGTTATTGTAACAGTAAAAAAGTGGGAAAAGTGAACTTTTTTTTTCTCTATTGAGGTTTGTATGCTCTCCAGATGGTACAATTGATTTGAAATGTGGCAGCATTATCTATTATAAGTACCAGAATGAGAAAGTGTAGTTCTATTAATATTTCCTAAAAGTTGTTACTACTTATATAATATAGTATTTTTGATGTAAAAAATGAATATACAGCTAAATATTTAGAACTGGGCAAAGAACATGAAGGATGCTTTCTTAAACACCTGTAATTTTGGAATTGGCAAACTGTTTTATGATTTATGATTTGGTGAGTAAAGGATTGGGTAAAGGAATTTGTAATCATAAACTAATGAAACTAACATTCTTTCAGACGGTGTTTAACACTATTAACAGTGTTGATTTTGGTGTGTTTTTGATACAGGTATGGAACTATTATTTTGTTGCTTACATGCTGAGAAATCAAACTTGTTTATCCAGACTGTTTCCTTAATACAAACACAGTTCATAAAAGATATTTTAATGTAAGTTCTTGTACTTGTTTGGTGTCTTTAAAAGTTGATCAGATCATTTGCATATCCAGGTTTTTGCGTCTGTTGTTTGTGCAGAATGAATGCTCTCCTTGTATGCAGATTTTAAATGCACTAAACTATAGGATTTTGTTTTCTAGGTGTTGATTGGAGGATCTCAGAGAACAATGTTTGACGTAAAAGCCTGGGCAGAGTACATTGTTGAGTGGGCTGCCAAAGACCCCTATGGCTTCCTCACCACTGTGATCCTGGCTCTAACTCCACTATTCATAGCCAGTGCAGTGTTGTCATGGAAGCTGGCAAGAATGATTGAGGCCAGAGATCGAGAACAAAAGAAGAAACAAAAACGTCAAGAAAACATTGCAAAAGCAAAGAGGTCAAAGAAAGACTGAGAGACTTGGGAAGGGCAAAACAACGGCACATTTCTACAACTTTGATTCCAATTCCTTCCATAAAGGAGTCTCGTTCTTTGTACAGATTTTACAAGAGACGTTTAGCAACACTTAGAAACCCAGCAGTTCCTTGAGCTGTGGTAGCAAAGTTAATGACTGGGAAGTGGGTGGGGGCGGGGGCAAATATAAAATTGAATTTATTAATCACTAGCAATCTACCATAATAATTAGTGTGTATTATGCTGTAGCCTGTCATTGAACACTGTCACCATCTATTGTGATAATATCCAGTTGTGTGTTTCTGTTACTACAGTATGTCACCTGCTGGCTTTTTTTAACCATTAACATGTTTTTGTAAAATTCAGTTTGCAAAGATCTACAATCTTCTGTTTTGCATTGCATCCCATTTGCTACTCTTCAGAATGCGTTCCTTGTACTGTGACAGACCGCACCCGTTTCTTTAGTAACTGGGGAGAAAACTGGTCTTTTGTCTGACCAAGTTTCAAATGCTTTAAAACAATATTGCGTTAATTTGCAATACCTTTCCAGATGTTCTTCTATCAGATTCCTTTATTTTTTAATCACTCTTGTCTTTATCCTTTACATACATTCTAAACAACTGGGCTCTTGATAAATATAAGTGGAAAAAATTAAAGCAGGAGGCTGGGCTTTCAGAGATTTGTGTAGCCTATGATTTAATTTAATAATCCCTGGCAAATTGACAGTTTACTCTTTACAGGATGCCTAACAAGAAAAACAAGAAATATATAAAATCAGTTAATAGTTTAAAATTTTAATAGTAAAGTGAGGATTTTGTAAATACTTGTTAACATCGTATGAATGGAACACTTATGATTTTAATTAATAATCTGCTAAGTGGTGAAGAGTCAACTTTTACGAATTATCAAAAACTCAAAACGCTACAGCTGTGGTTACCAAATGAAGAATACTGAAACAGTGATATGAATTTAATCAGCACCAGAATTCTTATAATATCCAGAGTACATAATTGAAAACCGTCACCACCTACGTGTACATTTCAGTATTAAGATTTACTTCGGATGTCATGTTTTTGTTCTGAATATGCCTAAAGAATCATAATAAATCAATTTCCTAGGTTAATGATATTTTTCAGCTTCATGTTAGAAACATGTTTTTTTATCTGTGTCACTTGTTGGCCCCATATCTTTTTCTGTATCTGTATTTTTTTAAAACAGGTGCCTGTAGCAACTGTCGCATTATTGCAAGACAGCTATTGCTGGGTTGCTCAGAATAAAAGACAAGTTGTCTCCAAAGAACAAGCCATTCCTTATTTTCGAGCCGAGCAGAGGCACTGGTTGGTGTGAATTTCCGAGGGCACGCGGGTGTTGCTGTACACCTGTGCGAAGGCGGTGCTGTTGATAAGAGTGGTTCCTCTTGAACCAGCAGTGCGGGATTCAGCACGTGAGGAACTGCTGACAGCTCTAGCAAATGCCCACTTTCCTTAACAGCCCAGAAAATCAAGAGATTGACCTGAGTATATGCCGTTATCTCCAACGTATTTAAATACAGCCTAGGTTTATTTAAATAAAGTCTAAATCCACTTAAACATTTTCTCATAATTAAAACAAGTTTCTTTTCTTCACGGTCTCTCGAGCGGAACAGTGCATCACTTTCGAGGCCCCACAACCTGAAGAACTTTGAAAACAATGGTTTTAGAACAATTTTAGATTAAAACAGCAAGAGGGTCTGGCTGAATCACAAAGACAACAGGTCAGTTTACTCATTTTTAAAATGATCTCCTTAAATCGAAACGTTTCATAGATTTCCACAGACATTTAACATGAGAAATCCTTCGGAAGGAAGAAGCTATTTAATAAGAGTAACATGACGAAGAAATATGCTCATTATAATATTAATAAACATTAATATACCCTATGTAAAGTGAACAAACTAATATTAAGTTAGTTCACTTTGCAGTAATAAAGTGACAATGTGACACAACATGCAATGTTTTTGATGTCTATTTAACTGCATTTTTTACTTTTTGGAGCAGTGCACTTTTCTGAAATCTGAGAGCCTTTCACCCTAGTGGCGGTGATTAGAAGAGCTGAATACATTTTAGGATTCGTTTTCTTCATTCACAGTCATTATGGCCATTCCACGGCACGACTTATGACTTGGTGTTGTCCCCAGAGGGCTTCCAGGACCCAGGCTCAAAGGTGTTGGCTGTACTGGTAGGGTCTTCGCTGGGCCCAGTCAGCTCAAAGCGCCGGGCTGAGGCGTGTCCTTTAATCTGAACCTGTGCTGGCCGAGCCACCAGCCCTTCCTCTTGCTCCTCGACTCGAAGAGCCATCTCCCTGTCTGCCACTTCTTTGGCACGGGCTTTGATGTCATCCCTGTAGCGTTCGTTTTTCAGTAGCTCCTTCAAATTAAACACAAAGGTGAGATTAGCTCAGTAACGCAAAAGCAATGGGGCTCCATGTAACCTTGAATATGCTCATGAAGGGCTATAGGGGAGATTTTTCCTTACCCTGCAGAAATACCAGAGCCAGTCTGGCACTCCTTCCAAGTGTTAAATGTAGATGAAAGCCTAGTACAAGCCCGTACTGTCTCACCCTCATGACTCATCTTAGAATGATGCATTGTGAGGTGCAGCTTTGTGTACCTTCTTTATTAACCTTAAAATTATTTTTTTTTGTGTGAAAGTTTGTTCCAGACTAAATTGGATTCCTGCACTGGAGGTATAGAAAGCAAATCCTTCTGGCAAAATAAGAGATGCCTAATCTTTAAATTGGAACTTTATACCATTGTGAAACATAAAAATGATGCAATGCTACTGACATTTGACAGACCAATATAATTCAGAATAAGAACACACCTTTAGGTTAAAGAACATAGGCAGCAATTCCTCTAACTGTACAGTGACATATGGGGAAGGTTTAAGGGCCACTTTTATTCTTTGCACAGTTATAATTTTTTAATCTGAAGGGTCAGCATTCTGAATGTTAGGACAGTTACACCTATGTGACAGATGATGGCATTAAGCTTTGGACTGCTATAAATTAGCTTAGAAATAACATAAATCTTCAAGGCTTGTTGGAAGCTATTTTGATGTAGTTGTTTCCCATTTCCCAGTGGTATATCATGACAGTGAACCCAATAAAAGATCTATCCTGATGGAGTTATAGTTGCACTCAAAACAGCTATATGGTATTTAGACATTGTTAAATGTAATTTAATTCACCTTACTTGTGTATTAAATTTATTACAAGAAGTAGTATCAATTTTGACAAATTAACTGGACAAGGTGAAAAAAGCAATTTATCCTGTGTTAAAGCACTTCAGTAATGCAATTAATATATATTTGTGGCTAAGTTCTATTCAGACATAGTGCTCTTCTCAATGGGGCAGTCTAACATATTGACATAAAGGTGTGGTGTGTGTATATAAATCTAAGTCCTGTTTGTGCTAACCAATTAATTTACAATGATTTGGTATTATAAAGCTTTATTCAATGTTTGAAGACAATGAGGAACCACTGTTGATAGTAAAATTTGTCCAAAAAAAAAGTTCTACAAAGAGGTAAGGAGAGGAAAAAATTGAAAACCTTCATATTTACTTAGAAAGACAGGATTGAAAGCTGTCCACAACATTCACTTCAAGGTCACACAATGTGAAGTGCCAAGCAAAACGATGAGTAATTCTTTTGATTCCCATCAACACAATTAACCAGTAGGAAACAGTCAACAAGTTTCAAGTCCCACCAGCATTTAAGCATGTTGTGTCAAAACCCTGCCCTGAGATATTAAGATCATATTTAAGGTAAATGAATTTCCCTCCATCCTTTCTGGTTTCTTTTCATCCTGAGTTTTGACTTGTGTGTGGTAAAGTTATTTGGATGGTCTGAAAGTGCATTTAAATGCTTGCATGTTCCCACAATGTGCTGTACTACATCACTGTTACTGCTTTGTTGTTCAAAATGTTCACCCGTAAACATCTATGACATTCAAGGCAATAGTTCTTCTTTTAATTAGAAAAATGCTTAATTCCTTATTTTCCTAAGAGACAACACAAGTAAAAAAAAATATTTGGAATTAGGACTTATTAAATCGTTTTTTTGGCTTATTTTGTATTTTGTATTTATTGGTGCTAACACACCTCCATAATTAGAAGCCATTCAGGGAAAAAGGATGAAAATCTGGAAAAGCTAAAACATCAATAAATAAAAAAAGAAACAAGTACTGGGCCTCTGTGATTCTCTTTTCTGTCCCTTTAAACCACCTAAATATTTTTAGACATTTATAGTCTTTTTCTTAAACTCTTTTACTGTTCATTACTCAAAACATTATCTTCATTAATGGTACTGTTAACAGTAAAACTCCTAAGAGCTGTATTATAAGTATTACAATTATGCACTTAATTACATAATTAATCCAGCTATACAACTAAAAGCACAGTTGGAACAAAAACCAGTAGACACTTGGGCCCTTTAGGAACTGAGTTTGAGACCGCTGAGTAATGGCTAGAGAAGTATTTTGTTCTTGCAAATCCATCACACACTCAAATGCAGATCTGCCTGAAAATACTTAACTTATTAAAGAATTAATAGGATTTTAAGAGTTGCTGCAAATCCATTCTGAATTTTGTTCTAACTGCCTGTAAATTGCTTAATTGATCTAATTATAACTGGGCAACAATACCATGGGGAAATGATTAATCAGTTCTAATTAAAAGATACCTGATAAACCAGGTATTGCATACCTGCAGGACTATGGGCCCTGAAAGAATGGGATGATTGCAACCTCTATGGCAGTGCACACCCATTCATTCGAAAAAAAAATTCATCCGCAAATTTTAGAATAAATCGAGGATGCAAAGTATATATTTTGCCATATCAGAATTTTACAGTGAACCCACTGGATCCGAAGGAAACATTCTTCAGAAAAAGGGCTAGAACACTTAGCTCTTCAGGAACAGCTGTAGGCAACTGATACACAGGGTGGTGAAAAAGTATATACCATTATGATTTTATGGATTTTAACATATTTAGCCTTCACCTAGTCCTCGCAAAGTCCTAATAGTTGATAAAAGTAACCTCATTTGACAAATAACACACAAAAATCTACTTTATCAAAATTAAAAAGAAAAACACGGCTTGTAAGAAATGATGAGTCTCTTGCATCGCCTGGGAGGAATACAAAATGCTTCAACTCCACAGCATCCCTGGTGGTTTAGGTCTGGACTAAACCCCAATAAGGTTTTATATACAGTACTTTTAGGCCTTGGTGTGGACTACAGTAGGTGAAGGTGAAGTATATCTAAATATGCTAAACCATAAAATCTTAGGGGGACGTACTTTTCACCACAGTGTATGTGGCAGAAATAGTCCCTTATTGTTGCTCGGTGGGCCTTTTTTTCTGCTCTTTCAGCATTGCAGTATGCACCAAGAAAAAGCGCATGGGTGGGAGGGGGAAAATTCCACAGAAATTCACCATCCTTCTTTTCATTAGTTTTATAACCTCTGCACAATCGCGATCAATACCTCTCCGACGGTTCCTTTGATTACATGCCAAGAAAAAAAAAAACCTGTATCTTTGGTCACTGCGCTGAAGCCCAGATGGGGGAAAAAAAGAAATGAAGCAATGGACTAATCAAAAGCCAAATTGTCAAACTGGCATGGACCACCGGTAAAGCGCTTAACAAAACAAAAGTGTTAAAAAGTTTATGAATCTGAACTGCTAAAAGAACAATTGAGAATAAAGGAACCCAAACAGGAAATCCTCTCCACCCAGCACCCTCTGCACAACAGGTAGAGGATCCCCAAACTACAAGACAGCTGCCACAGACGCCCTTCAAGCCTCCACCATCCCCCGCCCCTTCACTCTGGCTGACTGACATCAAACAGGCCGGGATCCAGTGATGTCAGCAGACAGAAAAATAAGTTTAGATCTGCGGTATTTCAGAACAGTTTGGTGAAGCTGTTACGTTCAGATATTTCATTCCAATATTCCGTTTTAGATCTTACATTATAAGAGTTATAAGCCATTATAAGAGTTAAGCCTCAGCATCATGTTATCGAAATGAAAGAAAATCTGTTCAAAATATGTCAGGCCCCTGAATGTGGGTAACACAAGATCACACTAGAAGAAGGAATGTAAACATCTGTGCATCCATCCATTTTCTACCTGCTTTATCCACTGCAGGGATAAACCGGAGGAGCAGGAGCCTATCCCAGCAAGCAACAGGCACAAAAGCCGAGATGTCAGTCCATCTCGGGGCACACACACTAGGGCCAGTTTTCCCCAGAAGGCAATTAACCTACCAGTATGTCTTTAGACTGTGTGAGGTAATAGGAGCACCCAGAGGAAAACCAAGCGAACACAGGAAGAACTTACAAACTCCACATATCTAGAATTCAACTCAAGGCCCAGTGCTGCAAGACAGCAATGCTAACCACTGCTCCGCTGTGCCATCCACTGTAAACACCTTAAAACCAAATATTTTATTCCTTCATAGAATGCTCTTAATGTACATATGTTGGGAGGTAATTTGAATGGTCGGTCAAATATAATAATAATAACAACATCACTTTATTAACCCTTTACAATTTCTTGCATTAGGAATTTGTCTTTTCGCATACCCCAGCTTGCTCTCCATGAGACACACAGACACACAGATAGGGAGAGAGCTTGTGGTCAGAGCACAGGGTCAGCCATTGTAGAGCACTCCTGGAGCAGTTGATGTTAAGGGCCGTGCTCAGGGGCCCAACGAAGTAGGATTCCTCTGCTGGCTGTGGGAATTGAACCGGCAACCTTCCAGCCACAGGCGCAGATCCTTAGCCACAGAGGCACCTCTCCGTGGATAAATATATTTATCTAATAATGTAAGTTCGATGCAGCAAAAGAAAGATCCTAACCTTTCAGAAATAAATCATTCATAACGATGCAGCAAAATGGGAATCGGGAATATTTTCCCTTTCATTTCCATCAAAGCAGGTCAAAGCAGCAGACATACATAGTTTAAAGTGGATCTGGAAAATGATCATGTTAAAAAGAGGACTGGAGCTTGCGTGTACATTCTGTTAAGTGTTGGCACACAGAAGAAAAGCTGCTGGGCGGGCACCAGTAATTTAACCTTGTGGTCCCAGTGTCTGTCACTGGTCTCAATGTTCTTTTTTCATTCGTACTGTCTCTAGGTAAACCGCTGATGAGCAAATTCAATTGCTAGAGTCTTCACAATTTTAATGGAAACAGACATCTCCGAACATGTGTCAGACTTTAAAATTCTTCTCTGCCACAAGCCTGCAGTTGAGGAGGAGAAACAGAAAGCACCATGACTGGCCTACTAATTTTGGGTTTTATGTAAATCAATTTTTTGACCAAGGAAACATTTTCTCGAGAACAGTGATAGTATTGAACACTG